GGTGATATTAGTAGCCAGCCCGCTGTTGGCAGGAGCAAATTTTACGGTAAGTGTTCCAAAAATTGATTTGCTAGGCAGATTTTTTTTTCACATGAATGATGGGTTGGTGCTCAGCAGAAAAAGAAATGCAGCATGTCACGAAAAAAACTCCTCGCGAAAGCAAGCTTTGTGGGCTGGTGCAGGCGCCCAATTATTCGAAACGTTTTTAGCTTGCTTTTCGAATAATCTCGGTAAATCCGACAGAAAGAGCATGTCGCTCGCCTTCTCGACAGCTGGTGGACATCGCTTATTAGTGACTGACACTCATGAGATATTTAATGAATAACTGGGCGGTTCCCGTTGAGGTAGCTTACATCGGATAAGCCGTCGGTGCTGATTTGAAATATGCAGCCCAAAATGGAAAGGCTTGGCATAGCTGCATCTGGTGTGTAGCAACATCCCATTAACAATACTAAAATAATAGCTCGGAGGGTCTTAGTTTTCTTGATGAGGGATTTAGATAACCAATGTGAAACTTCTGTTTTCAGAAGCGGGCCTGTTTGTGCTGTACAAATAAGATTTAGGAATTGTTTTCGATGAATCAGTAGTTAATAGCAGTGGCAAAGTGTGATCAAAATTTCTTCAGTGAAATGAGTCAGTAAGTAAATAAATTCCTATACAGAATAATCTAGAATAACAAACAAAAGGGGTGATCAAAATTGGTGACGAAATGCCGATGCATGTGGTCGAGGATATTATAAAAGAAAGCTTTCGTTCCGAGATAAAATCAATCAGAATTAGTTTTTCCAACGCTGGTATTAACTAATCCTACCGTGCCAGCCATTTAATACAATAGTATCAGCTTCTTTCTGGTTATAGTAATTTTTGGTCTGTATTTCCGAACAGTATTAGGGAAACCGAAAATCACATTCAAATTTTTTGAAATCGAGATGACTATGCTACCACCATCATGATTTCACTTCTGCTACACCAATCAGTTATTACTTCTTCCCAAATCTGAGAAATCTTAGTGTCGGAGTCCTTTCTTGAAAATCGTTTCGAAGCGGAAGGGGGTCTAATCACTCTTCACGTCCGGACAAAACGTGTTGCGAATACATCACCGGTCCTAGTGCTCCAAATTCTGCCTAGCAGCACATTTATTGTGTATCTGCCTTTGAATGTAAGATACACCTTTGTTTTCTCCTTTACCTCCCACAATCAATTTTCATCTTTTTTTTGCATATAAAGCCTACTTTCTTTCTTTGCCTTGATTTATGCGGAAAAACATCCTTACTGCTTGTAAATAGTAGTGTATTAATGCAACTTAAATATATGAACAGCATAATTAGCTACAAAAAAAATAAATAGCAGCATTCACCAGCTAGCTGATGTGAACACGTGTTTTGCGCCGTTTTGCTGATCGGAGCTAGAAAGATGCCGGCTGATCCCTGCCAATGTTTTCACATAACCACATATGAGACAGATATGCGTGAGGTCAACTCAAATTTTCAGGGTCAGGAAAAATAATCCCAAAATCCCAGCTTTCTACTTTCTCTGGCGTTTCCTGTCAAAAATTTCCAATATTTGTAGGTAAAACATGAAGGGATATGGAAACTGAATTTGGATTTCTGGGGCCGACGCACAAAGGGCACTCTCTAAAAATTTCAGCTTTCTATCTTTTCCCAAGCCAGAAAAATTTGTCAGGTGAAACTTAACATGGCCGCTTATAAGACGTAGTTATACGCGAAGGATTAATTCGAAGTTCTCGAATTGTAGATGGACAAGAAAATCCTGTTAAATTTTTAGCTCCTTCCCAAGTTTGAAAAATTTCCTCATGAAATTCAAAGATCTGTACGTGAGACACAGGGCAACATGAAAGATGAATTTAAATTTGAGGAGATACAAATGAAAGCGGAAACTTTATTTGTTTTGTTTGAGACCTAGCTATGATAAAAATTACTTCTTTCCTATATTGCTTGTGACGATAATGGAATTTTTTCGGCTGAAACATTTCAACTGCGCTTTGAACAACTATTTTTTCATCATTACATTCCTTGCCCTGATACGACTGATAGACTCACTATTCTGCTCTTTTGTTGCATTCGTGTAATTTTACACGACTATTCAGGTGGACCCTCCAATCTCCTACAGTTTTAGTCAAACCGACATTTCTTATTTTTCCATCAACTTGCTGTGGTTAAAATGACACGTAGTGTTGTTATGAAAAGCGCTTTTGCTGCACCTTTAATGACACGTCGAAACTCAAGCAGTGCTGGTTACAGACCAAAAAAAAAAAATTCCTTTACAGAAAAATGAAAGTAAAAAACGAGAAAATTTTATAATTCAGGAAGCATACTTTTGTGTCACTCAGAGATTCATTCATCTCGCTGTGCCTCTGCTGGCAATTTCTAGTTTTCTCAGTTGTCAAATACAAAGCGGCGAGCGCTTGTTTGCTTATGTTTGCCAGGATTTTATGAATCAATTTCCTGATTCTCCCAATGTTCTCCACTCTTTCTTATTTCCTAGTTTCGTGAATGAATGCCATATTTTTCAGCTCACTAAACTTTTTCAGTTACATCCGTACAAGTCCTCTTTGCAGTTTTCAAATTTTCTCACCTACGTAACGCAACGGCTGTGCATCGGTGGTTAAGTCATACATTCAGCTTTAATTTAGACCTTTCCAATTAAGTATATTCCGCGAATTTGTGCTGGCAATGTTCCAGAAAGTGGGCGAATCTGTAAACAGTGCGCTTGGCAATGAAACTACAGAATATCATTATACGTTAGTGCTGGATAACAAGTTATGGATTTTCAGCAGGAAATGTAAGTACTTTGTTGGCCGACTAACAAGCACTAAGCGTTCTCACTTCGGCAAGCGTATCTTCGTTACATATAATATATAGATCGATCCCTTATCTCCGGCCCTAATATTATATGGATTGAGAAGTTGCGAAATGCAACTTATGAGCAAGTAATTGAAAATTTTGGGCAAAATATAGATTGAAATAAAAGGAGTGAATCTCTTAAGTAAAACAAAAAAGACTGCAAAGGAAATCCTTCAGTTTCACTGCTGAGATTAGACTGCCGAGTGCCTTATATTTTTTCATCCTGCACGTGAAAGTGTGCTGCTTACTTTTTACGAGGACTTACCGAATGAAAATTGCTATGCTGAGAGTTACTGCAGCTCGGCATGCATTACCGGAAGGAGCCAGATCCTATCTAGGAAGTGTTGATAACGATTTCACTCTGTAACGCGGTTGTATCCATAATTTCTTTTCAGTTTTTTAGAAGAAAATACAGAATCGAGTTGTAGAAATTCCTTATAATCCGGAGGTTATTGAAGGCGTTCAGAATTTTTGAAAATCCCTTCTTCCTAGCGAGTGATGGTTTGAACTGAGTCAGTTTCTGGCGCCACGGCAATATAAGCCAAGGTTTTGTCACAATTCATTGTAGCTTACTGACGGTCAGCGCATTTTAAATTAACTTTAGTCTTTCTTTTTATGCGTTTTTGCCCATATGCAAATTACAAAAACGCATATTGCAACGACCCTGTCTGTGTGTGTATGTTTGTATGCGTCTGTGTTCGTGTGTCCGGATATTTCAAATCGGCAACCAAGCAAGCTCTAGCGCCAAGATTTTGTTAGTGGATTCTCCAACCAAGTGTCACCTCAGAACCGTGGCACCAACCCTCAGGCACGCCTGGGCTCCGCGTATGAGAGGGTGAAAATTTTAGCGGGAAAATTGATAAATTGGGAACGAGAAAAGATAGAAGGCTGAAATTTTGAGGTTCCCCGTGCAAAGAGAACTCAAAGATTTTAAATTCAGCCCCCCAGGTGTGCTGGTTCCCCCATAGAGCCTCATGAGAGTTCCTGGCGCGAAAATCGCTAGCTTGGGAACCAGGAAAAGAGGCTGAAAATCTCAAGAAATATTCTCAGCATAAGAATGACATAAACCTGTCAAATTCAGCCCCCAGTACGGCCCCGTGAAATTTCTTGGCGGGAAAATGGTTAAATCGGTAACTAGCAAAGCTGGGAGACTGAAATTTTCAGAGGATTTTTCCAGTCCATGAATTACTTAAAGCTATCACATTCAGCCTGTAAGCATGCGCGGTTCTCACTTGCGGCTCCGTGCTACTTTTTTGGCGCTAAAATGGCAAGCTTGGGAACCAGGAAAGCTAGAAGGCTGAAATTTTGAAAGGAATTTTCTCAGCATAAGTTTGCAACTTAAAAATTCCAAACCTAGCTTCCAGGCATGCTTCCAAGTCACGTGCGGCCCTATGAAACTTTTGGCGAGAAAATTGTTAACTCGGGAGCCAGAAAAGCTGGAAAGGTGAGATTTGGGAGAATATTCCCTGTCCAAATACAGCTTAAAGGTTTCAAATTCAGCCTTTATGTACGCGTGGCTCTCGTGTACGGGTACTTAAATTTTTGGCGAAAATATTACTCATTAAACAGCCGGGTCATTTTCAAAAAACGACCGCTAAAAGGAGATTGTTTATTTTCTTTTATGCAAAATTTACGATGATTTGCGGTATAGAGCGCACAAGGTAGGTGTGAAGAAACAACAGTTCATGCAGTTCACCTAATTACTTCAAGTTTGATGCAAAAAAGTATGATCGCACCGGCTCGCCTATTGCGTTTCAGCCTGGGTTCTTTATTGATATCTCGTCTCTTTTCATCCTCTTTCGTCATGTTGGCAATAAAAGTTTCATCTTTCAGCAACAAACCTCTATCAACCTTCGATTCTACATGTAAGCGAACGGCGCTACAGGATTCACACAACTCACTATTTGCTTTTTTCATTATTTCTCCCTTTTTTTTCTTAATCCTCACATATACAAACGATTTTAACGATTGTAGACCAAGGACAGCCGATGCACAACTGGGGGCACCGGGTCGCTTATATCGGTGGCTATGCCGCCTATTTCGATCTGACATCGAGAAACTGGTCTAGGAAAATGGAATTCAGTGCTCTGGCTGAAGATGAAAATATGGACGAATTGCTGTTCATTGTAGATGGGCATATTCACCTACTGCTCTATAACGGCTTCGGTGGCATGAAATTCATCAGTTGCTTCCAATGGGATTCTGAAAATGGAAAGTGGCACGCGATCCACTTTGAGGTGATTTTTATGCGTCTTTGCACGTACGCAAGTGCTAAAACGCATATTGTGACGACGAATGGTGCGCACGTGCAGATGTTTGTGTAATGTGTGTGTGTATGTGTG